GAATTGCATCGACTTGGCAACGAAGAACACAATCTTCTCCACTAACACCTATGATTTCTGACTCACTCCCATCAACAATGAATTCAGGAGCTTTTCCAATTGTACAAATTAGTTTTTTTGATTTCACTGTGATACCAGTAGCATTGGTAAGTACGACTTGATATACACCTGCATGTGGTACTTGAACATATTCTATACGTAGGCAGCAGATTTTGTCATGATCCTCAATGTTCAAAATAACTCCAAAGTCGCTCAGCATAATATCTTGTTCATTGAAAAGCCATTTACAACAGTAAGTACCCAAGCCATCGGTGACAAGACGAAGCTCAAGTTGCTCACCTTCTTTTACAATTTTGTTTGAAGGTAAGTCAACCACAATGGTCGGCTTTTTCTCTATGAACATAGTCAGAAAGTTTTTAGTGCAATTCCTATGGAATTTAAATGTGAAACACGATGAAACCACTGTGCCCATGATGAAGAGATCTCCTTATGCCTATGGCAGTCCGTTGGATGACTAAGATCAACACATCGAAAACTCCTTCTACTATGGTGGACCATGGTAGACATGTCGAAATATTTGTCATGGTCTGGGTGAAGAGAGAAGGAGAGTGGGCCTAATTTTCTCATCATATATTTCAACATTCATTTTCAATCGTGCTCCACAAAAAAATTCATCACAAAATAAACCTTGTTCAATAGGAGGAATAATAAAGTTTGTGGAAATTGAAGGCTTCGTCATTGTAGAAACTGAGAGAGTATCCACAATCCGTTGAGCTAATTTGGTAATAGCATGATCCGTTCGAATATCATCAGTACTGCGAAAATCGATATAGTCGATACCGTTGATCAAAGACTTGAGCCAGGCACTAGTTGGAGACCAGTTCTGAGCCACTAGACAAGGGATAATTTCCATATTTTGTTGGTTCGCGAATTCCAATTGTTTTCGACAACTATTCGATGTCTCATATTGAGGAGTAAGAAAGCAGCAAACAAACGATGCACTGGAAATTTCTGATGACATCCTATATCATCAATGGCATTATATTGGATGCGAGAGGGATTACATCAATAAAAAAAACAGTGTAAAACCTCATATATTCTCTCCTCTAGTTCTATTCTGACGTTTGACAAAGTGATTTGAATAATCTGAAAATAATTTTCAACCGTATCATGACCTGGAGACTTTTCCTCATAAAAGATTATCAAGATTCCGTTCTATTTGGGTTGGAAAAATATTTCATTTACCTCTCAAAAGTATGATCATTGATGTCATTGTAGTCATCCATCGAAACGAGAATACCCAGTGATGTTAGCCCATTGTACACCCGACTGATCAATTGCTTATTCTCCAATTGATACGAGAGTATAACACGTTTCATTGCTCGTTGTGACATGATGAGTTTGAAGAGCTCCCGAATCAATAAGAATTCCTTAACGAAATCTCGTTAATAACGACGAGCATACCTAAGTCTAATTATATGAACGAAGGGTTCGGATTTTGCTTTAAAAAAGGATCCTTGATGTCTATGCTTAGAATTTTATTATTTAATGCAATTTCAGTACGTTACTCGTAGTTTTCTCGAACTCCTTAAGAATGACAGTTCAGTTTTTACAAAAGTTCGATTCAATCAACCCTCTATTTTCCTTCGCAGTCTAAGTGTGGAAACAAAAAGATATCATTCTTATGTTGGGTCTGGATTGAAGCAGAACATAGTAATTTTTTATACTCCTTGCGTATGATTTGCAGTATGTAGGTCATATCAGCAATTTATGAACTTCAAACAAATTAATAAGACTCTTCAATGAGCTCATTTTTTGTTAATCTGAATTCGGGTGTGGAGATGTTCGATGATTTTAACCGCTTCAAAAGGATTCAAAGAGTTTGAATTGATTCGATTAAGAGGACTATGCCGAAAAGAGTTTTATCAACAGCGACTTACGTAGATATTGAAAAGAAACTAATGGTAGATACTTGTTAAATTGATCGAGAAAGAAAAATCTACAACGTACATTTTTTATTTAATATTTTATCAAAAAAGATACGTGAGCCAGCCCTAACAGAGTAATAAAAAGACACTTTATTATGCTATGCAATGAAAAGCCGTAAATAGGTAGATAAGAATGCACATTCCCATAGAGGTCGTGGTCTGCTATTTTTTTAAACAGGATACAAGGATCATTTCGACTTACAAGAGAACTTTTTCAAGTGTTCGCTTCGATTTCAATGAAGTTTTTGCTCATAGATACTGCATAAGGCTCTAGTAATAGTCCTTAAGGAATTTCGGCTCCTATTACTTCCTTCAAATGTGATGAACGTTTTAATTTGGGCTGTATAGTACATAACGTATAATGTGAATCATAAATAGCTCTGAGACAAAAAATGAAATATCTTCGCATCAGGTCAATTAAATGAGCTGATTATTTGGCTAACAGTATAAGTCTATTGAAAGCTTGTTTTTTATACAGATAAGGTAAGCAAATACTTCTATTAAGTATTATTGTTGATAGCATGCAAGCAGTTTTATCTGTTATCAAGTAAAAAACAATACATGTTTAGTATTTCATAGATGATTTTTAATTGTCATCTAAGAGAATAAGAAGAACAAATCAAAAATAAACTTTATGAATGATTCTGTATT